CCCCCATATCCGCCTCTCTTCCATCTCCCTACCCTCATCCCTGCTTAACCCTTTCCAACCCCAGTATTACACCTACCCCAGGCTGCTTCAGTCCCAACCCAACTGCTGACAATAACCATATGCTCCTGCATCATCCATTTTCAGGGCTAGTTTGTCCAGCAGGTGAGAGCATTGTTTTCTTACTGAGGTCAACGGAGCCTAAAAAGAGGATAGGTTGTGAAACTGGTACTGGAACTGTGTTTTCATTATCATTCAGCTTGAAATGGGATCTAATTCCCCTTGTAATATCTTCCTTCAGGCATAAATTATTTAGAAGTATATTGTTTAATTTTCAAAGTTTTAAAGTTTACTGGTTTTCCTGGATAACCTGTAATTATCCCTAACTTCATTCCTTTGTTATCAAATAGTGTATTCTATAGAGAAGCCACGTGACGTCAATGCTTTTTTGTTGCCTCTCTGAGGCATTTCTGGTGACTCCATGAATTCATCATGTACACATTTAGCAGAATTTGTATCTTATATTTGCATGTAATGTTCTATTAAGTTAATGATTAATAATGTTCAGATTTTGCTGACTGAAATTTTTTTCTAGTTCCATCAACTGTTAAGTTAATTTTTCATATATAATTGTGAATTGCTTATTTCTCTCTATAATTCTGTCATTCGTTTGTTCATGTATTTTGAAGCTCAATAATTATGAAAACATACATTTATGATTGTTACATCTTCATGTTGAATTTATATTTGTATTTTTATAAAATCCTATCACTAGTAAAATATTTTTTTCTTTAAGTTTATTTTACCTGACACTAAAAAAGCCACTAGGACCTTCTTATGTTAATTACTGCCTTGGTAAATATTTTTATGACCACTTCTTTTCTACTTATCTGTGTCTGTATAGTGAGTCTTTTATAGACAGCATATTGATTTTGCTTTTGTTTATTCTGGCAGCCTGTGCCTTTTTATGCTTTTCTATTAATATTTAATATCATCACTAATACATTTGTTTAACATTATATTATTGTTTGTTCCCTCTAACTTTCTTTTCTTCTTTTGAATTCCTAGCATATCTTAAATGGTTGATCTAGAGCTCTGTTGTCCAATACAATAGTCATCAGCCACTTGGAGCTACTAAATGCTTACAATGTGGCTAATCCAAAGCAAGACATACGAAAGTCTAAAATATACACAGGATTTTGAAGATTTAGTATGAAAATGGACAATAGCATTTTAAGAATTTTATTAAAATTATATGTGAAATGATAATATTTTATAGATGCCATAGTGAATGAATAGTTTACTAGCATTAATTTCAACTATTCATTTTTATTTTTCTAATGCAGCTACTCAGATTTTTAGATTGAATATATTACTCATTTCTGTAGGACAGCAATGCTCTAGACCAGTGGTTCTCTACCTGTGAGTCACAACCCATTTGGGAGTTGAACAACCCTTTCACAGGGGTGCCTAACACCATCAGAAAGCACAGATATTATGATTCATAACGGTAGCAAAATTACTACTGAAATAAATTACTACTGAAAATAACTTTGTGGTTGGGGTCACCACAACATGAGGAACTGTATTAAAAGATCTCAGCGTTAGGAAGGTTGAGAACCACTGCTCTAGACACTTTTTAGCATGCATATAAAATTTACACAGGTTCTATACATTCATGATGTCTGTAACACGTCACAGAAAATATGGAAACTAAGCCGGGAGTGGAATCTGCTAGAAGTGTGCTTGCCTAGAATGTGATTCCCAGCAACTTAAAACAACAACAACAAACAAAACAAAACCAACAAAAACGCATGTTGTGAGGTGGATACTAGAGACAGCTTAAATTGATTCTGCACCTGCCTAGAAAAATAGAGCTCTGAGTTCGATTAGTATTGCATAAAACCAGACATAGAGGCTTCACGCATGTAATTCCATCATTAAGGAAGTAGAGGCAAGAAGATCCGAAATTCAAGATCAGCCTCAGCTACACACCAAGTTTGAGGTCTGCCTGAGATATATGAAACCTTGTCTCATGAAAACAAGCAGACAACAACAAAATAAACTATCAAAAAGACAAAACCCAGGCAGGGCAGTGGTGGTGCACACCTTTAATCCCAGCACTCGGGAGGCATAGGCAGGCAGAGCTCTCTGAGTTTGAGGCCAGCCTGGTCTACAGAACGAGTGCCAGGAGAGGCTCCAAAGCTACACAGAGAAACCCTGTCTCGCAAAACAAAAAAGAAGACAAAACCCTTACACCTGTTGATTTCTTTTTATACTGTGATGGATTCCTTCATACTTTAGAAGTCTGCTGTTGCACTGACATAATTGTAAACTTTATGATACAATGTTTTCATTTTTATTTTGTGGAATCATATTTACTATAACAAAAAACTTAGGGAAACAGTACTTTAAGTTCCCCCAGATGTTTATCATTTCTTGGTAATCTTGGAGACTCAAGATCCTGCTGGGTTTCCCTTTTTGGACTCTTTTACAGAATTTCCCCTCAGGTTCTAGTAAATGTGGTTCCCACAAACTCTGCTGCCCAGATGCTCTTCAAATCAAAAATAGTTCCTGTTGGAACTGCAGCTGTCTAGTGCAGTACCAGCTGCAGCCTGCTCTTAGGCTAAAAGCCACTACAATGTCCTTTGCAACTGCCCACTCCCTGCAAAATTGTCCTCACTTTTTGCTCTAAGGTGTCTTCAGTGGCCTCTCCCACCCCCGCCTCCACCCTTACCTCTACCTTACAGTTACAATGTTGTCGGCTAATTAGAAACTTCTTAAGGAAAGGGAATTGCTCCTTTAAAGATGACATGGACACTAAAACAGGGTAGAAGGAAAGGCTATAAATTAGACATAATTGATTCTGAAGTTCACCACCCCCCCCCCCCCCCCCCCCCCCCGAGCCTCGGCATATCACAACATCAAAAAGCCTGAGGTCTGCCTATAAATATTTCATATGCATTAAGCAAACAGAATTGTAAACACCAGGCAGCTGCTGCTCCGAGCCATTCTGAATCCTTCTCGCCCTTTCAGCTGTCTCTCTGCATGCCCTGGACCTCATTATGATCCAGAACTGAAGAATTAAACAGGGAACCTCAGAGAGGTCTCTGAGACCCAGCTTCAACACTGCGGTCTGAGTCCTTTCTGGTTATTAGGGGCCCTGTTTTATCAGTTATTTGTGTTTTAAATATCACTTCTACACCTACATGCCACTAACAAAGAAATCTTCTAATAAGGGATAAACAGAATTATCTTAGTTAGGGTTACTAGTGCTGTGATGAAACACCATGACTAAAGAAATTGGTGGAGAAAAGGGTTTGTTCAGCTTATATTTTCCACATCACAACCCACCATCAAAGGAAGTCAGGACAGGAATCCAAGCATGACAGAGACCATGGAGGGAATGCTGTTTGCTAGCTTGTTCTTAAGGCTAGCTCAGCCTGCTTTCTTCTAGAACCCAGGACGATCAGCCTAGGGATGGCCCCACCCACAACGGGCTGGGTCCTCCTCCATCAATCACTACTTAAGAAAATGTCCTGTAAGTTTGCCTACAACCCAATCTTATAGAGGCATTTTTTTAATAGAGGTTCGCCTCTCTCTGATGACTTTAGCTTGTTTCAAGTTGACATAAAAATGAACCAGCACAAAAATATTCAGCCTTTTAGTCTGAAGCACATAGATCACTCTTCCAAGCTCAGGGTTTCCTTGAAAGCCCATTATGTGCATGAATAAAACATTGGCTCTCTGGGTTCTTCCAAGGATCCAGACAAGCCCTGCATTTCTTCTTTCAGATTGTATTTGTCATGTCTTGTTTTGTGAGCACAAATTACATATTTACTGCTCCATCCTTTCCAGAAAACTGCTATGTGTCCCATGCAGTAGTGGATAGCTTATAACTTCTTGCTGAAAAAATATTTTTAAATTTCCCCAAGCAAGCCCAACAAGAGGACACTCAACACATAAGTGCAATGCATTCTGGAAAGTAACTGCAAAACACAATGAGAAAGGACATATGTCCTTTAAGGAAATATGAGTGTGAATATGACAATTTGAGTAAAATGAGGAGAAAAAAAAAAAACCCGGAACAAGCAGATCCTTCTGTCTCCTGTTATATGCTGCTGTCTTGCTATGTCCTACTGGACAGGCACTGGAATAAGTGCTGTGCTGGGGGCAGGGCCACAAGAACTTTGAAGTCTTCTGGCAAACTGTGTATACTATATAAGGTTCACTAAATTCTAGGTTTCACTGATATTACTAAAAGGGTCTTGTTTTCATGATATTTTGAAATTTTAGATGGATTTATAAATTTTAATATTTATGGTGAAGAAAGCCTTCTAGGAATCATAATTCATTTTTTGCTTAAGCCTTTCAGATGTTTCCATTCCAAAATTGCTGTGCATTTGAACCAGAGAACTGCTCATTGCTGCTGGGTCATAATTACTTGGAAAAATACCTTTAGGAGATTTCATTTGAAAACACTCTTTCTAGAATCATTTTCAATGTTTGAGGCTTGAAGTAATATCACTGAGATGTGTGAGTCTCACTTAGTGTCTTTAAATGTATTTTGTTTTAGTCAGTTGGGAAGCCTGGGCAGTCTATGGGGCCTCTGGCAGTAGAACCAATATTTACCCCTAGTGCGTGAATGGGCTTTGGAAGCCCATTCCCTATGAAGGGATACTCTCTCAGCCTAGATACACAGGGGAGGACCTTGGTCCTGCCCCAAATGATGATCCCTCATAGGAGGCCTTAGCCTCCCTGGGGAGTGAATGTGGGGTGGGATGGGGGGTTGGTGGGAGGCATGGGAGGGCAGGAGGGAGAGAGAACTGGTATGTAAAATAAGATTGTTTTTAATTTAAATAGAAAGTTATTTAAAAAGAATTAATCAAATTTATGTAGTTATAATAGTTTCTAGTGTACTATTTCAGAGTCCAAAGCACAACTAAAATAAACATATCCTTCCCTTTCAGTGAACTCTTGACTGTGACAGCGCTGTGGCTAACATGGCACCCAAAAAGAAGGCTATGAAGAAGAACAAAGCAGAGATCAACGAGATGACTATCATTGTAGAAGACAGCCCCCTAAACAAGCTCAATGCTCTAAATGGGCTCCTAGAGGGAGGCAACAGCCTTAGCTGTGTTTCTTCTGAACTAACAGACACTTCCTATGGCCCCAACCTCCTGGAAGGTTTAAGTAGGATGCGGCAAGAGAGCTTTCTATGTGACTTAGTCATTGGTACCAAAACCAAATCCTTTGATGTTCATAAATCAGTGATGGCTTCATGCAGTGAATACTTTTACAACATCCTGAAGAAGGATCCATCAACGAAAAGAGTGGACCTCAACGATATCGCCCCTTTAGGCCTGGCCACGGTGATTGCCTATGCTTACACGGGGAGACTGACCCTCTCTCTGTACACAATAGGAAGCATTATCTCTGCCGCTGTGTACCTTCAGATCCACACTCTCGTGAAGATGTGCAGTGATTTTCTGATCCGAGAGATCAGTGTTGAGAATTGTATGTATGTTGTGAACATCGCCGAAACATATTGCCTGAAAAATGCAAAAGCAACAGCCCAGAAATTTATCCGGGATAACTTCATCGAATTTGCAGAATCAGAGCAATTTATGAAGCTTACGTTTGAACAAATTAACGAGCTTCTCATAGACGATGACTTACAGCTGCCTTCTGAGCTAGTAGCATTCCAGATTGCGATGAAATGGTTAGAATTTGACCCAAAAAGGGTGAAGCATGCAGCAGATCTTTTAAGTAACATTCGATTTGGTACCATTTCTGCACAAGACCTGGTCAATTATGTTCAAACCGTACCAAGAATGATGCAAGACGCTGACTGTCATAAGCTGCTTGTGGACGCTATGAACTACCACTTACTACCTTATCATCAAAACACGCTGCAATCTAGGCGAACAAGAATTAGAGGTGGCTGCCGAGTTCTCATCACTGTCGGGGGACGCCCTGGCCTGACCGAGAAGTCCCTTAGTAGAGACATTTTGTATAGAGACCCTGAAAATGGATGGAGCAAGCTTACAGAGATGCCAGCCAAGAGTTTTAACCAGTGTGTGGCTGTGATGGATGGATTCCTTTATGTGGCTGGTGGTGAGGACCAGAATGATGCAAGAAACCAAGCCAAGCATGCAGTCAGCAATTTCTGCAGGTACCCAGTGCTTTGTTGGTAATACAAATAAGTGGAAGTGTGGAGAAGCTGCCCTGACCCAGAACTGATGCCTCTTATCTTAGTTTATTAGCCATATAGTGGTAGTAATGCTTTAGATGTTTTCCACATTTCATATAAAAGTGCATCCAAGACATATGCATCCGACATTTCTGTTTTTACTTTTTAATATTTTCAGTTAGCATACAAAGGGATGTGTTTCATTTTGGCATTTTTATACTTACATGCCATTACACTTTCTTACGCATACCTCTTATCCACTCTCCTGCCCTGTTCCTGCCTTTCTCTTATTGGTCCCCTGGATGGTTCCCCAGAATCTTCCCTCTGCTTTCACGTCACATAAGCTCTATTTTTATCCTGCCCCTGAAGTCTCTTCCTCCCTTTTCATGGTCTCCCTTGTATTTTCATCATACATACACATCAAACATAACCAAGAGGCAACGATTTTATGATATCCTTTATTGTCTCATTATGTGTGTGTACCCTCCATTTACCAAGAGTCCAAACAAAGCCCTGGAGAAATCGATCAGTGGCTAAAACACCACTGCTTTTGCAGTGGACCCAAGTTTGGCACCACATCAGGTGGCTCACACCAGCCTGTAACTCCAGCACTAGGGTAACAACACCCTCTTCTGACCTCCAAGGGAACCTGCACTTACGCGCACACATACACACACACACACACACACACACACACACACATATATATATATACATATCTATGAATATGTTACATTTACATGTAAATATATTCATTGGTTATATTTATTATATGTTATGTTATATATAATTTTATATTATATAAATTTAATATATCAATATAATTAATATATTTTGTATTATATGTTTTATGTAATTTATCTTTATATATTTTACATTTATTTGTATGTATAAATATATTCTTTTAAAAGTAATTTTTAGACTTTTTAGACTTTTTCCATTCTGGGCCTTGAGCCCAGTGCCTCACCTGTGTCAAGCAAGCACTGTGCCTCTGAGCCACAGCTTCAGCCCTTTATTTGGGATTGGAACAGGACAAAGGTGAACCCTTTTTTACAGAACTTCTGAAATTTTGAACAAGGAACCACGAGTTCACTGGCTCTGCTTCTTTGCCTTCTGCTGGGTTTCTCACGGTTTAGTACTCAAGTCAGTTTTCTTTGTGTTGATCTATATACTGATGTTGATCTATATACTGAAAACACTATAGTACTAAAAAAAGAAACTCTATGAACTCGAACTTTTTACCAGTAGAAAACTATTAGGAGAGACCAAGCCTCTCTTGATGCTTTCAGACTGATTCCATTGGTTTCATTCTAGGGTGGCTTAGCTTTCTATCAGTGCAATGAATGGCCAGGCCAGACATGCCAAGGAGAAGTAAGTAGAAGAAATCCAGCCAGGCAACTCCTATCCTAATTAAGCAGGAAGAAAGAGCTAGGGGTTATTGATGTTCGAAAAACAGGTAGAATCCCCTCTAATGTGCAGGTTCCCTCTTCAGATAACCAGCTTCTATGTCTCTTAAATCCCGGAAAGGGGAGGTGTCAGTGTGAGAGGAGAGTTCTGTGGGATCATTTTTTATTGTTTGTTTTTGTTTGTTTGTTTGAGGATGTGGCTAAAGGAAACGTCTTCTGAATGGGGAAGAGAGGAGAGTATCACATTTCTTTTTTTCTGAATGAGAGGCGAAGGGCCAATAGCTGTAATATCTAGGGGTGATGGTTAGGCGTTGCTGGGCGACATGAGTTCCTCTGCTTAGGCGATCAAGCTGTCCTCTATCATCTCAGGTACGATCCTCGCTTCAACACCTGGATCCACCTGGGCAGCATGAACCAGAAACGCACTCACTTCAGTGTGAGCCTGTTCAACGGGCTCCTGTACGCGGTGGGGGGCCGCAACGCGGAGGGCAGCCTGGCTTCGCTGGAGTGCTACGTGCCCTCCACCAACCAGTG